TAGAAGAGAAAAGTCATACAAAGTTATATACAAATCACTACCCCCTTTTTTGTATTTCCTTAATTTATTTCCTTAATTGAATTTCGGTTGATTAAGACGAAGTTCCTTAAAAACCTCTGCCTTCTTTAAAATATCCTGAACAGTTTCTGTAGGTTGAGCCCCTTTTTCAAGGAAATATAAAATAGCAGGAACATTTAAATAAGTTTGATTCTTTATCGGATCATAAAAACCCACTTTCTGAAGATCTTTTCCTTCTCTTCGGGATCGAACATCAATTGCAACGATTCGATAGACGGCTCATTGGGATAGATGTAGATGAGCAACACCCCCCCTAGAAACGTATAGGAAGCTTTCTCCTCGTACGGCTCGAGAAAAATGATTGATTCGAAGTTTTGTCTCTGTATGGAATTCTATCTAAGAAATGACAACTGGATCCATAAAATGATCAAAGCAATTAAAGATCTAAGTCTTTTTTTCTTCGTTCTTCCTTAAAATGAAAAAGAAACCATTCATACTCTCATAACTCAAGTTGGATAACTTTCAAACAGTTCAAAGGAAAATCTTTCGGCACTTTCATTTATTGAGCGGTCTTTCCTCCTTTTTTGTTTGTCTCGTTTAAAATCGGATTCTTCAGTCTGATCCAGTTATTAAGACAATTAAAAAGGTGTTTCCTTGTTCTGGGATCCTTTATCTTTGTTTTATTTTAAATCATTGGGTTTAGACATTACTTCGGTGCTTTTTAATCCTTTCAAAATGGCAGCAACATACCCTTTTTGCGATTTTTATGAAAGAATCCTACAAGATGATGGATTCCCTCGTGAAACACTTTGGATCGAAAAAGTTTGATCAATTCCAATAAATTTTTTCATTTTAAACTTGCTCGAATTGGATTCTTTCGATTTCCATACCTAAGATATATTTACGAAGTTGTTTCAATTTTTTTATTGATTGGCATTAACCCTAGACCCTTGCCCCGAGAAATAAATTAATACTTTCTACTCGAGCTCCATCATGGACTATTTACATTCCAAGACAACAAAAAACGAGGGGTTCTAGTGAAACAGAACCCATGATGTCGAGCTAAGAGCACCTTCATTCCTACAAAAAATGGTGGATGTACAAATCCACAACGGATCGTGTCCTTCAAGTCGCACGTTGCTTTCTACCACATCGTTTCAAACGAAGTTTTACCATAACATTCCTCTAAGAACCGGTATGGAATTGATTCAATTATGGAATCATGAATAGTCATTGGTTGGGCTGATGTATAAACACCATAATCTAAAGTATTTTCTATATCTTCTATATCTATAGTCTATAGATATAAATAATACTATAGATATAGGTGGATAAATATTTTTCTGAAGAAGTCTTAGTAAGACCCCATCGCTAATATTAAATTGTCTAACATTATAATATTAATTAATAAATATATATAATAAATAATTTATTTATATAAATAAAATAAGACGAATAAACGAATTCTTTTTGATTCTGCATCTTCACGTGACTTAATAGGAGAGAAAGATTCAGCTTCTAAGGAATGATTTAAACTATTTCTCTTTCGAAATTTCGAATCAATTTCGAAAGTTCCCCTCTCGACATCATTATTCCAAGAAAATTTGATAGTTAAAAATAACTTTTGATCATCTTAGGAAAAAAGATAAGTCTTTTTTTTTTTTTCATCTGATTGATAAAATCCAAAGAATGGGGAGGGTTTCCTATCTATCAATTCGATCAAATAGACTGAGCAATTGTCACTGTTTATAGATATTGAAATGAACGCCTTCCCATCACTGATTAACTCCTATCTACCCCATTCTATGGGACTGATGCAGCATAAATCAAAAGAAGGGGATGTCCTAGTCTTTTTTATTTTTACGAAATGCGAGCTGTCTGGGCACAAAGCCAAACAAGCCCAGATTAAGTCCAGTTTTTGCCCCTTTTTTTCTATTTTAGCCTACCTCATTGATTAAGAATTAAGAGACTTAGTGAATTGAATTAGTACCAAAAACCCCCTCTTGGCGAAAAGTCAAGAAATCTACAAAAAAGAAAATTGAATCTAATTAGGCTAATTTAGGGGGTAGAGAATATGAGATAGGGAATATGGATTCTTTCGTATCTCGATTCAGTTTTTGAAAAAAAAAACGATTCATCGAAGAAAAAAATCAGAAACAACAATCACATTCCAGCTAACATTTCGATTTTAAACAGAACATTGTTAAAAAAGCAATCTATATTGTCAGAGAATATATATGTTCTGGGACGGAAGGATTCGAACCTCCGAATAGCGGGACCAAAACCCGTTGCCTTACCACTTGGCCACGCCCCATTTAGATTTCTATGCGATACTAATAAAGTATATTGCTGGTTTTGTTTGTTTGTCAACTCTAGCCCAAATATCTATAGAATCGATTAGATTGGTATTCGGATTTTTCTATGTTTTTGGTATGTGTAGATATAGAATTCAACTTAATTTATTGATCATTACATATAATTC